AACCTTATAACAACAGAAATAGTTTCTGTTATTCATGGTTGTGGAGATTGGGGAGTCCAGGATGAAGCTGCTCGTAGAGCCAGTAGCTGGTGAGTACACGACCACAGTGTCCTCATATGGTGGAAAGGGCAAAGCAGCTGTTTGGGGTCCTTTATTTATTTATTTATTTATTTATTTATTTTTAAATTTTATTTTTATTTTATGTGTGTGAGTTTTTGCCTGCATGTATGTCTTTACACCATGTGTGTGCTTGATACCAGCAAAGGCTAGAAGGTGTCATATTTCCTGGCTACAGATGGTTGTGAGCTGCCATGTGGGTTCTACAAATTGAACTCTGGTCCTCTGGAAGAGCAGCCAGTGCTCTTAACCATTGAGCCACAGCCTCACTTTTGTTTTCTAATGAGGTTACTAATGCCATTCATGAGGGAACCATGCTTGCTCATGACCTAATAACTTCCCAGTGTCCCCACTTCCAAATAGTATTACCTCAAAGATTACATTTCAATGTATGAATTTGGGTGACATAAGCACTCAAATCATTGCAATATGTACTTACTCTCTAAGCATCATGCCAGGCAGATGGCAGGAACCCAGCAAATCAGTTATCATATTTACATGATTAGTGAGGGATAGAATGGAGATGTAGCTCAGTGAGTAGAGAGTCTGCCTAGCATGCATGAAGCCCTGGGTTCCTTCTGCAGTACCGTTTTGAACTTGCTGTGGTGGCCAATGCCAGTAATCCCAGTGTTCTGGAGGTGGGAGCAGAAACATCAATACTTGAAAGGTAATTCTTGACTATAGGGAGTTTGTGGTCTAGCCTAGACTCTGTGAGACCTTGTCTAAAATGGGGAGTGGGTTAGTGGGGTAATAGAGAATGCAACAGGGAATGTCTTCTAATGTGCCTCTTTGCCTTACTTGTTGAAACGGAGAGTGACGCTAAAAGGATCTATTTGTAAAATCATAGAAATAGTAACTTCTGCACAATTTACACTGGCAGATCCCCAAGATTTCAGAATTCACAACTGGTGTTTAGAGGATGGAAAATAGGTTTTGATGTTATTGTGGATTTCCAGAATGGAAAAAATGTTGGAAAACGTGTAACAACTAAGTGTCTTGTCTCGTTTCATCTGCTAATGTTGGAATGGAGTTTGGCCAGCTGTATGTGAATGTTCAGAGAAGAATCCCTAATGAGCTTTAGTGCCTGTCTTCGCTATTGCTTACCCACAGTGGAGTTTCTGTTGATTATAAACTTGAGTCGAATTCAGCCAATTGCTGGAGTGCTTGCTACCTTGGCATTCTCTAGCAATAATACAAATTCTTTTTTCCAGAAGTGGTAAAATGAACAGAGGGTGCAAGTCTTGTTGTTTATCTGACCTTCACAGATCTAAATGAACTAACTGGCTTATTTCTGGACTGAAGCAGGAATAAAGAAAGTTCAGCTAATCAGAATCTTGACCATATACCAGACACTGAAGAGGCTAGTGAGTGTTTCCCAAAGTCCTACTTGATGACATCATCACAGCTTTGCCATGATTTGACTTTAACTTTGAAGAGCACTTTGGACAATTACACACTTTACCTTTGCACAGGTCCCAGGGTTTGCAGATAGAAAGAGGGATTATTAATTCTCCATTTTGTGACATTAGGGCGAGGTGTGGTGGCTCAATCCTGTAATACCAATACTTGGGGTGGGGCAGAGACAGAAGAAATTACTGCATACAGTGTGTTCCAGGCCAGCTCTGCCTCAAAAGCAAACCAAAGAAAAAGTACAAAAACAACAATGAAAACTGGCGTTCTTTCTATTCCACTTCTTGTTTTTCTTTTCTTTTCTTTTCTTTTTGTTGTTGTTTGTTTTTTATTTGTTTGTTTGTTTGCTTGCTTGCTTGCTTTTTTCAAGACAGGTTTTTTCTGTGTAGCTTTTGGAGCCTGTCCTGGATCTCACTCTGTAGACCAGGCTGGCCTCGAACTCACAGAGATCCACCTGGCTCTGCCTCCCGAGTGCTGGGATTAAAGGCGTGCGCCGCCACACCACCCGGCTCTCCTTGTTTTTCTTATCCCACTCCACCCTAAGGGACTCTCCCCTACTTTTTCCCAGTTGGGCACCAGTGTCCTTCTGGACATCCTCATTTGTAAATTTGATCCCACACTTCTCCTTTGCAGTATGGTCTAAATGGCTGACAATGAATGGAACTGATATGCTCTTCTCTCTAGTAGATCCAGGTTAAGTTCATGGAAGAAAGATCTAGAGTAGAACTTCCAATACTCAATTTTGAGAGGCTGGGGATGTAGCTCAATTGGTCAAGTACTTGCCCATCATAAAACAGGGCGTGGTGGTACACACCTCTAATCCCAACACCTGAGAGGTAGAAGCAGTAGGCTCAAAATTTCAAGGTCCTCCTTGACTGCAAAGCATGTCCAAGGCCAGTCTGTGCTACATGCAGCCCTGTCTCAAAAAAAAAAAATCAGTTTAGAGCTTAGGAATGTATGGTGTAGTGAAGGCTGTCTGTATGGGCATAGATGTCATCTGGTCCCCCAAATGTTCAGAAACAATAATCCCTGTGCTTTGTTTTTCTTCTAGTCCCCACAGGCCCCCTGTAATGTCTTCCTGTTTAGTTCCTGCTGCTTCAGAACAGGCTAGCTGTGAGAAGAACAGCATCTGTGGATAATCTCAAGTATATTTGGGTTTTCTCAAAAGGGAACTGGATGCAGTCCAGGCAACTTCCTCATTTAAACAGTGACTTTTGTTGATGCATGTTTTATTTTATGATCAGTTCATATGTTCTAAAACTCAGTCAAGTACCGGGCTATTTTAAGAATCCTAGTGTTGCCATTTGCAAGTAATCACCCTGGGTAAGGAATACAAGTAAAACAAGGGGAATATTTTCATCACAGGTTTTACTCTCATGTGTCTATTCTCCTAGCATTTCATTTTGTTTATTGTTGTAGAGACCGTCCACTTTTTCTGTATCTATCTAACAGACATATGCACACACACACACACACACACACACACACACACACACACACACACACACACACAATCAGTCCCACTGGGAATTACAGACTGAAACCAATTGAACTTCACAAACAGCCTTGGTTAGACTTGGTGGGTCACAAAGCAAAAGAAGACATAAATATAGGGAAGAGACTTGTGGGGGTGGATAATAGGAGTGTGGGAGGGAGATGAGAGGGCGAGAGTGAGAGTGAGCAGAGTGCACTATCGATGTCTGTGTCTGTGTGAAACTGTGAAGGGAACACATTCAATACAAAGGAAACAAGTGACTCTGCCTGCTGCCTGTTTGGGCATAGATGTCATGAACACTTTCCCACTGGGTCAGTTCTAGGGGAGATAGACTAATTCCGGCATCCTCTGCAGTTAAGGATGCTCTGGTCATCATCTATTGCATTGTGTTTATCTTGGCTTTGGCAAACTAAAATAGAACTCCTGTCAGTTTATTCCCGGAAAAGTGCATTTTAAACATTTGGAATGTAGTACCATTTAACTCTTCACAAATATTAACGGTACCCTTTTATTAAAAGTCTGTCTATGCTTCTTATTTGTTTATTTGCTCTCTGTGTGTGTGCGTGCATGCTCCCATACCCATTCCACAGTATGATTATAGAGGCCAGGGGACAACTTAAGGAATTGATGTTTTACTTCATGTAAATTCTGGGGCCCTAACTCAGGTTGTCATACTTACTATGTAGATTAGGCTGGCCTTGAACTTTTGGTGATCCTCCTGCTTCAATTTACTGAGTGATGGGATTACTGGTATGAGTCACCACGCCTGGTTTACATCTATGCTACTGACTGACTGCTTTAGATTGTTCCTGTGCTTGACGATACTAGCCTCAATATACCTGTCAGAGATTATAAGAAGCCTCAACCCATCTTAGTACAGGGGATGTGTTTTAAAACCAACATTTTACATTGCATTTAAAACAGTGAGGCTGGTGAAATTGCTCAGTGGTTAAAGGCACTTGCCTGACAACCAGAGTTAACTCACTAGGATGGACATAGTAGGAGAGAACTTCCCAAAAGTTGTCTTCTAACACATACACATAAATAAATACACAAAAATACATCAGTAGGTAATTGGTATTTTCAGTAGGAACAGTAGCCTATCAGAATGGTGGCAAAAACTGGCAATGTGGATTTTTCATTTTAGGCAGGTCTCACTCTATCCCAGGCTGACCTGGAGCTCACTCTGTGGCCCAGGCTGGCCTCAAATTCATGGCAATCCTCCTACCTCAGCCTGCCAAGTGTGGTGACTACAGATGTGACCCATCATGCCTGGCCAAAGTGTCAGAAAGGCCTAACATCATAGCTAGAAAAGTCACCCAAAACCAGGAAGAACTCACATACTCAGGCAGATGGAGAGTCAGAACCTCTCGGTTCACACATGAGAAGGGCAAGATCAATCAGCAGAAAACAGGAAGTGAGGCTGCAGAGCAAAAGGCAGGTTGGGACAGAAGTTCTGCAATGTGGCATTGGGATCCTAAGCAGTTGGGCAGCACCATGGAGGAAGGGGAGGAGAGATGGGGACTTATGACAGTGCCACTCGTAAGGACAGTGAAAAAAAAAGGTAAAGCAGAAAGCCTCCCCTCCTTATTTGTAGACTTCTGGGGCCATGGCAGAGGGGTTGGCCAGTAACTGGAACCTGTGCACATGAGCTTCCTGTAACTGGCCGAGGAGCTTCGTGTGTTCAGATCAGGAGAGTGGCCCTGAGTATGTGCTGTAGATTTCCTGCTGGGCGCTGCCTTCTTGGCTTGTCTTTCATATCCCAGTACTGTCTTGTTCTGACTCATTGATGGCTGCCACATGCTATTAGGCAGCTTTGCCACTGCTCTAGTTTCTCCAGAAGGTAGGCAGAGGTTTGCATTTTGTCTTGTACATATTTTTTCCCTCTTGAGTACTTGAGGAAGGGGCCTTTTCACAGTTTTGTTTGTTGAGTTGATTGCTTACAATGTCTTACAGTTTCAAATTTCCTTTCTAATAGGTATTTGAGCCTGATGACCTTTATTCAGGGATCAATTTCTCCAAGGTTCTGAGTACTCTTTTAGCTGTCAACAAAGCAACAGAAGGTAAGGCATGTCAGTGATTTATGATCCATGTTTCTAGAAGCCAACTATGGCTACAGTTGTTCAAATGGTGCAAATTTCTTCCCTTCCCCCAAATAAATTCAAACAAATAAAAAGTACTTCAATTTTTAATAACTTTAATGTACCTATCACAGAATAACAAGAAAAAAAACACACCTATCAAGCCTACCTATCACATTCTAATATCCTTAATACAACAATAAGAACCAAAAAGTGATTTCATGCAAAGTTTTTGGATTGCCAGTTGAGTGTAACATGACAGAAAACAAAAAGGGAAAGACCAGTTCCTCCTTTAAAAAAAGTAAGGTTTACAAAATACAGCCATCACTTCCCTTTCTCTGCCAGAGATATTTTTCTTTTAGTTTTCCATTGGTCGTGAAAAAGAGCTTTTCAGTAACTTTGCACTGTGAATGAAACCTCAGATTCCCCATGAATGAAAAGAGTAGCCTATTTAAACATTTCCTATCCACTGTATTGGAGGTCATTAAGTATAATCAGAGTAAAGAGGAAATTGATAAAACTACACTAACCCTTTTCTTCTGTGACATCATGTCTTAACTATATCAGTAGTGGTCATTGAGAGTTCAAATGCTTTGAGCCCTCTCCATGGGTCTAGGCTGTCTCAATAGCTCCAAGTGATCTCATTCAATCTTTGAAACACCTTTGGGGGATATGGTGACGACGAAGTACACATTATAGATGATGAATGCCAGGCCCACAGTTAGCCAACTAGAAAACAGATGACTAATCTACGATTCAAACCCACACATGACTGTCCAGAGCCCTTATGTCAAACATGAATCCTGCTACTGAATGGTTTAAGAGCCCAAAGACTGTGTGCTCAGCACTGCCAGGTGCCATAGAGGAAGTGGAAGATACGGCCCTGCCCTTGAGAAAATTACCATCTATTTATGGAGACTCAACTTACCCACGTGAAACAATTAGGGAGCAAGAGCAGACAATGTAATCAAGTGCCAAGTAGGATGGAGCATCTAGGAAGCCATCAAGTAATTATAGTTTTACCCCAAAGAGCTGTAGATAATAGCAAGATGTGGAAAAATACTTCTCCAAAGTTGTTCTTTTGCTATTTGGGAAAAAAATGTTTTTGAGCTCTTGCGAGGCGTAGAGCACAGAGTACAGCTAATTCAAGGAGCTATATTTAACGCACATGACAAGTATCCAGTTCTGGGAAGGGAGGATGGTATAATTCTAACATTATGCCACACAAATTATACGTTCCTTTGCCAAACTCTTCTAGCAAGTTTTACAGTCTCTTCGCTTACCACAGATATTTATAAAAATACAAGGAGGTGAAAGTTAAAACCCACAGCCTCAAGGAAATTACTTGGATACTGAGCCTGTCGCCTAGGGAATGTTTGGGCTTTAGACTTTTGCAGTTTATATCTTTTAAAAATAAGTGGAGAGGAAAAGGAGCCTCATTTGAATTTGTCAAGAAGCCAGCCTCTCCCTTTAATACATGCTCAGCATACTGAAAACACCCAGCTCAGTTCTGGCCCGATCAAATTTCACAAAGAATCAAGCAAGAGAAGGCTCCCGTGTTTGATTTTATAAAGCGATTCTAGTATCAAGATTGCATCTGTCTCAAATACACCCTCTCCCTCATTCTGATTCCGAACCCCACTCCATCACACCAGGGAGACTGTGTTATGTGTGCCATGCATATTTTTACATGTAAGCAAAGAACCCCTAAGTTATGGGCCAGCAAACAAAGAGAGAAATTTGAAATATTTCAAAAGTAATAAGAGCCACAAACAGCTGTTTGGTACCCGATATAGGTCTGCCTTGGATAACAGGGCATACTGTGGCAACTGGTTCAGGAGGGAAGAGTTGTAGGGAAATGGGTTAGGAGAAAATGTGGTTCTGTCGCTGTTTTTCATTATACTGGACAGCAGTGGCCAGTAAGGTTAAGAAGAAAAAAGTTGGCCATTGAAAAGATAAAAGGGAGGGGGAACCTGAAACACATAGCCTGCTCAGAATGACAGAAGTCCCAGGAGCTGCTAGGATGGCTTTGGCAATGTCCTGGGAAGGAGCTTCTCCGGTTGTAGGTGGTTTGCTGCCGTAAATGGTTCTTTTACCACGTCTTCTCCTTCTCTTTTCACAGATCAGCTATCAGAAAGACCATGTGGACGGTCCTCTTCTCTTAGCACTACCAACGGCTCTCCGACAACCCCCCAGGCAGCAGTTCCCAGCACAACTCCAGCGCAGCAAAGCCAGGCAAAGGCTGTGGTAAGTAGAGTCCCCGTTTCCTACCCCTTCTGTTTTCAAATCTGTCAAATCAGATCAGCATCCCAGATGTATTTCCAGATGTGGTGAGGTAGATACCCTGCTTGTTTGTTGTGTCACTGGACAAAGAGGTACAGAATGAATACCGGTTCAGGCTGGAATGCTGAGCTAAAGCAGGTAGGTGGGGCCCCTACCTCAGGAATTCAAGGGCGAAGCCCCAGCTTTGTTGTTTACTAGAATTCAGCTAGTCACTTAATTGAGAATGCTATGCAAATGTCAGTCATTATGACTGCTCCTGATGGCACTTTGCTGTTACTTTCTCTAGCCCATGAGCTTATTAGAATGAGTTATTACCTGGCATTCACAAGCAATCAGTACTCTTGTTGTTCTGGTCTTGATTGCAATTTTTTTTTTAATTCCTATTGAGCAAGACCCAAGCATAGCTGGATGTGATAGAACAAACCTGCAGTCCCAGCACTCTGGAAGCTGAGGCAGAGGCATCACCAGTTTAAGGTTAACCTGGACTACATAGTACACTCAAGACCAGTGTCTCAAAAGAAGACCCACTTTTAAATATCAGCCCATGGTATACTGGGTCTCCTAGGTGTTTTTGCATTTGGTCTTAGAAGCTTTGATTTGGGAGGAAATGCCGTTTTCTGTTCTTTCATCCTTGTCAAAAGCAACTGGCTTACTGTAGGCCACCACAACCTGTTATTGCCAGAGCATCTAAGCAGGTGGTGCTTATCCCTTTGGAGCTCACTCCATCCTCCTCCTCTTTTTGAGACAGACTCTCACATAACCCAGCCCAGCATAGAACTTGCTATGTCTTGGAGGTAGAATGACCTTGAACGTCAGATCCTCCTACCTCAAGCCCCCAAGTGCAAGGTTTTCAAGTTCGTACAAGCATACTTGGTTTATACAATGGTGAGGATTGAACAAGGGCTTCTAGATAAGCACTCTACCAACTAAGTTACAGCACAGCTCTCCCAGCAGATCCCTTGGAGAAGCTGATGAATACTATGGTGCCATACTCTTTGGCCCTTCTTAAATTGCATATAAAAGTGTGTGTGGATAAACTAATATGAGCAAGGAAAACTACATTGAGCTTATCAGATTCTCATAAGGATCTGTGACTCTAGGAAGTTAAGCCCAGAACTTCTTATTTATATAATTGTGAGTGTTTTGAGGCAGTCTCATGTAGCTCAGGCTGACCTTGAACTCGATGTGTAGCTGAGGATAACCTTGAACTCCTGATCTTCCTCCCTTCAAATCCTAAGTGCTAGGAGCACAGATGTGTGCCTTCCCCTACCCAGCCTAACTGCTGCTACATGTGATCTTTACTTGCTACTTAAGGCTAGCCTAGCTGAGATTTGTTAGTAACTGAAAGATGGGAGCAATTTTTATAAGGGTAGGTTAGTAGCTAACATTTGGACCAAATTTTATATTGGAGAGAAGCAGGATGGAATGGTATATTAGTTTGCTCAGCAGCCACGTTTAGAAAGCTGGTGGAAGAAAAGGGAACCGAAAGCTGTGACTCCCTGGAAAATACACGTTCTGACAAATGCAATTTGTATAGAAAATTTTTCTATGATTATTATTGCTGTTGTTGTGTCTGTGTGCTCTCTGTATATGAATGCAGGTGCATGTGAAGATCAGGAAACAATGTTTAGGGGTCCGTTCCTTCTTTCCTTCCACCATGGACTCCCAGGCTGGAGCTTGGGTCATCATTTCCCAGGGCCCTGCAGACACTTGTGTATGGACTTGAAGGGGCTATTAACCTCTCCTGAGAACCATTCAGAGACTCCTAAATTCAAAACTGAGGCTAAGCTAGACATGATATCATATGCCTGTAATGCCAACACTTGGGAGGCTGAGAGGCAGGACGATTGCTGTGAGTCCTGCCCAGACTGCTTAGTGAATTCCAGGCCAGCCAGAGCTAATATGAGACATAGTTCTGAAAAAAAAAAAGAACAAAATAAATAAACAAATGAATAACTGAGATGGACCTGGGGTTTTACTCTTTTTAAATGAAAATACATTTAATGGGTTTAGGTGTTTTGCCTGCGTGTATGTCTGTGTACCACTTACCAAAGTGCCCAAGAAGGACAGAAAAGGGCAACAAACTCTCTGGAACTGGAGTGGCAAATAGTTGTGAGCTGCCACGTGGGTGCTACAAACTGAACCCAGTTCCTCTGTAAGAGCAGCCAGCATTCTTAACTGCTGAGTCATTTCCCCATATCCCTGGGGTCATAGCCTTGGTCACTTCACTTGGCTTAAATCTACATAATTTCTCCCCATGCCTCAATTAGATGGGCACTTAATCTGGTGTGACTTTTGTTTCTCTAGGAGATGACGGAAAATGGAAGTCACCAGTTGATAGTAAAGGCAAGATTCAACTTCAAGCAGACTAATGAAGATGAATTGTCAGTTTGTAAAGGGGACATCATTTATGTCACTCGAGTTGAAGAAGGAGGCTGGTGGGAAGGCACACTGAATGGGAGAACAGGATGGTTCCCTAGTAATTATGTCCGAGAAATTAAACCAAGTGGTGAGTAAAACTTTTAAAAAGTCTTCTTACGTGTGACACTTGTTCCTTCCCAGTGTTCTCATTGAAAATGTTTGATTTGAAATTGCTTAACACAAACAGTTGATGCATGTATGTGTATGTCCAAAATAAGACTAGGACAGAACTGGGAAGAGTTCCATATGTTGAGACAAAGTTTTATTTAGATTCTGTGAAAACTAAATAAGCAAAGGAATCCAAAGTTCGAACAACTGCTGTACTTTAAGTACGTGCCTTTCTGTCCACTGACTAGCCCAGAGTACACAGTGCAGAGTCCTTCCTGCTCCTCTGAGAATCACCATGGCAGAATACAATAACAAGAGAAGCTGAGAGCTAACTTCCCTTTTTAACACTGCCTCAGAGATGTGTGAGAGAGAGAACAGTCTCCTGCAGAAAGTGGCCTGGCCATTTTAGGAACAAGACTGTCCTTAGCTTATTGCACGCCAGGAGCTGCTTTTCCCTTTCCTGAATAATATACACACAACAGACTCTAATTGCTCTTTAGAAGTTTTTTGTTTGTTTTTGTTTTTGTTTTGTTTTGTTTTTTGCTTTTTTGAGACAAGGTTTCTTTGCGTAGCTTTGCACCTTTCCTGGAATTCACTTTGTAGACCAGGCTGGCCTCGAACTCACATAGATCTGCCTGGCTCTGCCTTAGAAGTTTTTTTTTTAGACTTATTTGTCCTTTTAAATAAGAAGGCAGATTCTTTTTGTAATACTAAACAGAAATTAGCACAGCATCGTGGTGTACATCTGTAATCCTAGCCCTGAAGAAATGGAAGCAGGCGGATTAAGAGTTTAAGGTCATCTTTACCCATAAAAGAAGTTCTAGGCTGGCTTGGGCTACATCAGACCTTGTCTCAATGTCTCAAATAAACCAAACCACAACAACAAAAAAAAATCAATAGAACCCTCCCACATCTAGTTTATGAAAGAATATGATAATACAGATAAAAGTGATGTTATTACATCTCTTCATTTTTCAAAAATATTTACCCAAGGGCTCTTTTCAATAGCCTGATCCTCAGTGTATTATCTCTTTTGTAGATGACTTCTTTGTTTTTTTATTTTAATGCTTCATAATTGATGGGGCCAGCGGATGGCTCAGTGAGTAAAGGTGCTTCCTGCCAAGCCTGACAACTTTAGTTCGATCCCCAGTGCACATGGTCGAAGCCGAAAACCAACTCTCAAAAGTTGGTCTCTGACCCCCATATATGCACCATGATGCATGCCCCCTAAAATAAAGAAAGGAATAAGCAAATAAATACATTTTAATTAAAAAAATGATACTGTGGGCCAGTGAGATGCTCCGTGGGTGATGACCTGAGCCTGAGCCCTAGAACCTACAGAAAAGCAGCAGGAGAGAACCAATTCCACAGAGCACTTCTTTGATCTCAGCACATGTGCCATGGCTGGAGTGCCGCCTCCCACACACACATCATGCTCACACATACAAAACATAGTTTTACATTGATACATTTAATTCATAAAATATAGACTCACTCTAAATAAAATATTTCAGAAGTATAATATAGATAATAAAAGTTCCTTCTCCCTGCACAGCTGTCCCCAGATAACTATCATTCTTAGAAAGCTTTCCTTTCAAGTACTTAAGATGAAATTTAGTTGTTCTACTTTCTGGGTTCTGGGACGGGGAGAGGAGCATCTCACTGAATGGAGTGTGTTTACTGGAGGACTTAGAAATATTTGTTTGTTTAGCCTTCTCATCAGTTTTTGCCAGTTGGGCATAGAACCCAGGTCCTAATACATGCTGGGCATGGAACCCAGGTCCTAATACATGCTGGGCATGGGACCCAGGTCCTAATACATGCTGGGCATGGAACCCAGGTTCTAATACATGCTGGGCAAGCGATTTACCTCTGATCCGGAGTCCCAGCCCTCAACATTTTTATTTACTGGGAATTGAGGCTTTTTTTAAAGCGCTGGAAGTATTTTCACAGGCCTGCCTGGAACTTCCTTGGTTTTGATTATTTTTACAGCTGAGCTTCACTCCCCGCTGTATCTTTCCTTTGACATAATCCAGTTGTCAGGATCCCTAAACCACTTTCCAGATTTCCACTAAAGCTCCCTGGTGCAGTGTCCTCATCTGCAAAAGTAAAAGGAACAATTTTTGCTGCCTCACCTGGAAATCCCAAGCATTGCTTAAAGGGTAGAGAAGTGGATAGCATGTCACTCACTATGGGGTTTATAGCAATGTGCCTAAAGACTACCATAGGCCTTGCTCTCTCTTCCCTTCAGGCTTTTCTTGGAATACTCTGGTTTAAGACTCAGATCAGCAAATTCTGGCCAGACTTGGGCACTTAGGGGATCCCTACAAACATCCTACTATTGAGGATAGGTCTGGCTTCAGAGTCCAGGAAGCTTGTGAGGCAAGGAAGGTCTAGGATTTGATGTGTGTTGAACAGCATCTCTCCTGTAGCTCATTGTCATCACTGTCTTGCCTTCTCTGCTGCTGTTCCTGTCACTTCTGTAATCTTGCCTAAACTACATTATCAGAGCAATTCATTAACAATGTAACCCAAATCATGGCTTCTCCCAGGAAGTGTAAAAGCCTAGGTCACCACAGCAGTGCTGGCCCAACCTTGTCCCTAGATGACCTCACTCGTTCCACTTTATACATGCTGCTCTCTTGACCTACCTGGCTGTCCAGATGTCAGCACTGCTTGCCTTGTGCCCTTTAGGCCTGCTCTCTTGTGACACTGTAGCAGTGCCTTCCTGAGTCACCGGGGCAGAGGTGAATTCGATCCCCGCTTCCTCTACCCATCGTTTCGCCCTGCTTCACTCTTTTTGCTGTTTTTTTCCCCAAACATCCTCTACATTGACTCCTTTACTTCATTTGCTGCCTACAGCTCACCTTTAAAATGTAGATACCACAAGAACAAAGAGGCTCTTCTGCTTGGTTTATGCTTGGTACATATTTGTAAAATATCTGGGTGTGGTGGCTCATGCTTGTAATTTACAGCACTTTGGGGAGTGAGACGGGAGGATTGCCCATGAGCTCAAGGCCAGCCTGGGCTACCGAGTGAGACCCTATCTCAAAAAATCAAAACTAAAACAAAAGAAAAACATGTGTGGGGTAAATATGGTCAACATACATGATTTACTTGAAAGAAATTGTGTGTATGCCACCTAGTACTGGACAATGAATATAAACCAACAAAAATTCCAGACTTAGAAAAAGATCGTTCTGTAAAACAAATGGATATTATGAAGGAGGTGATAACATTGCATTTATCTTGTTCACTGAGTATCTGCTAATCACTTGGGGTGTCTGTAGCAATATTGCCCCCAGACTCTGCCCCAGGACCCTCTTAGGCTTATATGCTTAACTTACAGTAACAGCATGAGACAAAGCAGGCAATACAGATAAATGTCTAGACAAGTGGCTATTGGAGCAATGAAGAAAGAATTTGATTAGTAATATTCTAAGTTGAGGGGAAGTCCTTGAATGAACTGGGTCGTGAAGATTTGAAGATAGTTTTGACTGGTAGAAGGTTAGAGAGAGTGAGTTAAAGATGGTTATAGGGATACATTGTTGTGTGGTTCTTTTTGTTTGTGTTCTGACAAAGCTTGCTTGGAGTCAGAGGGCAGAGCTAGTCACTAGTTAACCATAGAGGTCTGGAGGACTGTAGAGAGAGGAGACAAGAAGTGATAAGGCAGGGCTGAGATAGGATCTCGGCCTTTTTGGTCGTAAGAATGGAAGAGGTAGGAAGTCACTGGTGGCTGCTCCCCTACTTTTCTGATCTTTCAGGTTTTTACCCCAATATCTGACTCCTGGTTTTTATTGATAAGATTAATTAGATATATGCTTCAAGGTGTAGAGTAGCAGGCAGGATTGATTTTCCTTGAGAATGAAATACATGAAAAAGACCAGGCTCTTGAGCTAGATAGAACTCTATGAAGAGGGGTGTGGCAATGTCAAGTTGCTTTTTATTTTTCACTGACATGTTTTGTTTAAACATTAATTTTTAAAGGTAATATACAAGTGTGGTGGTTGGAAGTAAAATGGTCTCCAAAGGGAATGGCACTATTGGGAGGTGTGGCCCTGTTGAAGCAAGTCTTGGAGGAAGTGTCACTGTGGGGGTGGGCTTTGAGGTCTCTCTTGCTCTTGTCTGCATATCAACATGTAGCTCCAGTGTTATGCTCCCTGCCATGATGATCATGGACTAAACATCTAAAACTGTAAGCTGCCACCTCTTTTAAATGTTTTCTTTATAAGAGTTGCCATGGTCATGGTGTCTCTTCACAGCAATAGAAACCCTAACTAAGACAACAAGATAATGAGTTTCATTATTACATTTTCATATACTCCATTTCCCCTGTCCCAGCTCTCCTCTGCCTCTCTTGCTATTTCTTCTACTCTTATGAATAACCACATTTCTTCCTTAATGTCATTTTGTATACACACACACACACACACACACACACACACACACACACACACACATATATATATATATATATATATATATAGAGAGAGAGAGAGAGAGAGAGAGAGAGAGAGAGAAATGTGGCTTCTGTATGTAAGATAAGTATGCAATATTTTCTTTCTCCTCTACTTCACCCTTGTTCTCATCTGTCCTGTCTTAGTCAATGTTCTAGTACTGTGGAAAGACACCATGACCAAGGCAACTCTTATGAAAGAAAGTATTTAACTGAGGGCTTGCTTACAGTTTCAGAGGTTTAGTTCATTATTTTGGTGGGGAAGCATGGTGGCATGCAGGCAGGCTTTGAGAACTACATCCTGATCTGTAGTAGATCAGAGAGAGAGGCTGGACCTGACATGGGCTTTTGAAATCTCAAAGCCCACCACAGTGTAACACTTCCTCCAACAAGGCCCCCCCACTCCAACAAGGACGTATTTTCTAATCCTTCTAATACTATCAAAGAGTTCCACTCCCTGCTGGGTGGTGGTGGCACAGGCCTTTAATCCCAGCACTCGGGAGGCAGAGGTAGGCAGATCTCTG